CATCAAATACTGTTTTTTTGAATTAGGTAGCAGTCCGATTGATGTCGTGGATCCAAGATGGGAGTTGTATGTCCTGATCCAGAACAAAACAGATGAGAAAGGGGACATCTACAATGTATTGCTTGGTTTTACAGCTGTGTATCGTTTTTACCATTATCCTGATAGTTCTCGGTTGCGGCTCAGTCAGGTTTGCTCCTTGTCAATATCACACAGTAGTTCACATAAAATTTCATTGTTTATGCAATATTGGTGCAGTTTTTTAACTAGACTCTTTGTTGATGGTAGATATTGGTATTGCCTCCTTACCAACACAAGGGTTATGGACGATACCTTCTTGAGGTTCTCAATGATGTTGCAGTATCTGAAAACGTCTATGACCTCACTGTTGAAGAACCATTAGATTACTTCCAGCATGTACGTACTTGTGTTGATGTTCTGCGCCTTAACAAGTTCCATCCAATGAAGGATGCGGTTAACTCAGCAGTTTTGCAACTGAAGCAAGGAAAGTTGTCGAAGAAGACACACACTCCTCGGCTCATGCCAGCCACTAGTGTCATTGAGGATGCCCGAAAAAGTTTGAAAATTAACAAGAAACAGTTTCTTCAGTGCTGGGATGTTTTCCTCTATCTCTGGCTTGATCCTGTGGACAAGTACATGGCGGATTTTGTGGGAATTATTTCTAATCGCATGAAGGAAGATCTCATAGGAAAAGATTCTGGGGCCGGTGGAAAGCGAGTGGTTGAAGTTCCAAGCGAATATGAACCGGAGATGTCATTTGTTATGTTCAGGTCACAGGCCGGGGAAGCTGCTAGTACTGTTCAGATAGACGAAAATCAACCAAATCAGGAAGAGCAACTCCAGCAGTTAGTTGATGAGAGGGTAAAAGAGATCAAATCAATAGCTGAGAAAGTGTCTTCGCAGATCTCTGTCACTGCCGCGGCATCATAATGGTCTTCAATCTGTTAACCGAAAACGGATTTTGTGGATTGGGATATCGGAGGAGGCGTATCTGTAAATTATTGAGCTTATGCGTATTCTAGCTTATGTTATTTGAACATTCGCGGAACTTCATTACTTGTGAAATTTAGCAGCTAGCGCTAGACTGGGTCTGGTTGAACCCGACCTGTTAAATTAACGGGTCATCTGAACTTGATCCGTTAAGCTAAGGGGTCATTCGTTTCACCTGTTAACAATTATTATTAAGGAAAACTAATGAAAAGGGTTTGAAAACTTTGAGTTTTAATGATAAGGACAAAATAAAGAGTAAAATGAATAGTACCAGGATTGACTTTTTAGTGTTAAAATGTGGTTTTTCGTTAAAATGAACAGTACCAGATGCTTTTCGTTAAAGTTTCCTTATTATTATTGTTATTATTTTGCATAGAGTTTATATTTTGTTGTTAAAGACTTTACTGAAATTACTAAAATATCCTTAATTAACAGATGTTAACGGGTGCTAACGGGTCTAACGGGTTGATCCAAAGTGACCTGTTATTTAACGGGTTCACCTGTTAGTGACTCGATCTGTTAATCATCTATCTAAATACTAATATTAACGGGGGTTGGGTCGGGTTAACTGGTCGGGTTCAAAATGCCATGTCTAGCTAGCGCCGTTAACATGCTTACTTCTGTAACTTTTTATTCCTGTTGTGAACTGAATTATGTGAATCCACCTTTCACCTCCTTCCATATTCTCCCTCCATCCCAAAAGGGAAAACTGTTTCTCCTTCCGCCCTTCCCTCTAGATACACAGGAAGCGTGAACATTTCGGTCAGAAATTTAGGACGGTTCTTTGTGTTTTTTGTTTCATTGCTCAATTCTTCGAGAGGTACGTACGAAGTTGAATATAGCTGAATTTTATGTCGAACCAGGATTAATACAGGCCTGTAACGTCGATGATGCTAAGATGGAAGTTAATATGCATTACAACTCTATAAATTTGTGGGTTCGGTCTCATTCAACGTTACTAAAAGAGTAAATTCGACGTGTTCCTTGTCACGTCATTTTATCATGGCGAAAAGGTTGACAAATGTATTAGGGTTTAGGGGTGTAACGAGAAAACAAAAATTCAATATGCATTACAAAAGAAAAATAATAGAGAAGTCATAATGTTTTGGTGATAGTGTCACGCTAACTTATCAATGATGTGTATAACTATTGATTTACACTACGCTTTAGTCTATCATATCAACGTTGTCGTGCATCTATATTATAACGCATGATGAGTAAAATGGAGTTGTCTCCCGAATTAGGTTAAGCACAATTGATATGTACAAAGACTACTGCAGGGTAGTCATATGGGCACAACAAGGTTATGCCACCGCAATGTGCTAGCAACAATCAAGCATCAAACACGATAAATATTTTCACTATCATATAACATGAATTTAAGATCTTTTAAAATTAAGTGAAAACAAATATTGCTAAACCAAGTACCAAATTGCAATTGATTAATTGTTAACACATTTCCGAACCAAAAATGTGTCTTATCCTAAACATATTTTTTCCAACTTATTTTTGTTTTCCTTGCTAAAAAGCCTAATTTCTATTTTATTATTTATAAGAAACAGAACAAAACGACGTGATCAGTTGTTTACCATCTCTAATTGGCAACAAGCGACACGTCGTATAAGTAGAAGAAGGGGACTCTGATAGACCTTTATAAGGGTGTGGAAGCTAGGGTTTTACGCTCCATTTTTAGTTGATCCCCCAGCGCCTCTTCCTCCTCCTCTCTTTCTGCATCACTTCCAAGCCCGCCCCAAAGGTTCCTCTCTCTCTCTCTCTCTCTCTCTCTCTCTCTCCACCCATTTCTCCTACCATGAAATCTTACTTGTACATCTGAAGTTGTTCAATCCCTGTTTGGCCGCCGAGAAATCGACGGAAAACAGAAGAAAATATAATATTTTCTACTCATATTTATGCTTAATTTTCTGGTGGCGTATAGCTCAAATCTAGGGTTTTTGCTTTCAAGATTGGATTTTTAAATTGTGGGTTTTTTTTTCTTTTTTCTTTTCTGAAGTGAGGATTTGCATATGCAGGTACAGTTGGTAGAAGGAGAGTGTGAAAATGGTTGAGAAGACAAAGGGAAGGAAGGAGGAGGTGGTGACTAGAGAGTACACCATCAACCTCCACAAGCGCCTCCATGGCTGGTATTATATTTTCCCAACGTTTCGTGATTTGTTCTTATATTTGCATTATTCGTGCTTTCGGTTCGTCAGTTTTGCATCTAGTAGTTGTTTTTGTTGTAAATATTTGATTTCGGCTGCTTGTTTTGCATATTGTGTTGTTCTATGTACTGATTCTCGATTGGGATTTGGATTCATATGGTTTTCGAGTTGTCGGCATTTGATTTCAATATGTATTCGAATGGGTTTGTATGTTTGAAAATTTTCGGAAGTATTTCCTATGTTGTGGTTGTGTTACATGTGTGTTATCGAACTTCTATATTACTTTTATGATTAGTTATTTAACTAGAATGATTAGTTATTTAACTAGAACGGAATGTATGTTTGTGTCGGGCGTAAAAGCAGTAACAGAAAAACAAATGCAGAACTTAGTTATTAAAACTGGCGAGCTGGGTCTTCTAGCAAGTTCGTTAGTTCTTGCGAGGGTTTTGAGATGGACAATGTTACACCAGGTTTTTATGATGGGGAGCAGGGAAAAGGCGATGGATTTCATGGTAAAATGTGATTAGAGGTGGGGTATGACTGAAATTGGATTTTTCAGGTGGACATTCATAGGTTATGATAAAGTTTCTTTGTGATGGATTAGGGCAGTGAGTGGAAGCGAGACTGCTCAAAGATGGCCATGTAGGACTGTAGTATGGTAATGGTGTAAGCTACTTGGCTGCGGCTTGGGCATGAAACAGAGGTTCTAGTCCAGAGGGTTGGGCTTGAAATTTGTGGGTGTAGGGCTCTTACGGTCTCAGATGTTGATGTTATTGAAAGTCTGCAGAGATAGTAGGTTCTGTATAAGTAGCATTTGCGAATGTGTCATTTCTCTTGCTTGTGCATTGTTATTGAACCATTGAAAAACATTAAAATAACTCTTCTGCAATGCCTTTTCATAACAGCACATTCAAGAAGAAGGCTCCTAACGCCATAAAAGAGATCAGGAAGTTTGCCAAGAAGGCCATGGGAACACATGATGTTAGGGTTGACGTGAAGCTGAATAAGCAGATCTGGAGCAGAGGAATCAGGAGCGTCCCAAGAAGGATCAGGGTTCGCATTGCTCGCAAGAGGAACGACGACGAAGATGCGAAGGAAGAGCTCTACTCCCTTGTTACCGTCGCTGAGATCCCAACTGAAGGACTGAGCGGGTTGGGCACCAAGGTCATTGAAGAGGATGAATGATCTATTGATTTCCGTTTTAAGTAAGCTACTCTCATTAGGAAGAACAGAGAATTTTATATGCTTTTTCGAAAAACCTTCGGAGTTTGTTACCAAACTTGTTTCAGTAGTTTGGTGTATTTTTGTTTGGTTAAATATTCAGCATCAGTAATTTACTCTTTGGTTTTTAAGTGATGTGTTTCTCTGGTTCTTTAAACACCTTTGGATCTCTGTCTCTCTCTTCGAATTTGCTTTCTGAAGAAATCAAACTGAGCAAAATTCTATTGTGCGACGGACATACCATGTCTGTGCCGCCGTGGTTTGTCCGTTAACACGAGGCCGCATTTGGACGGCCATACAGGAATGAGGATCCTCTTTGTGAGGATCCTGGGATCATTTAATCATGTCCATTTTGTGAGGTATATTTATATTCAGTTTTAAATAATAAAAAATTACAATGATTTTTTATATGTATGATGAATGGACGTAATTGAACGATTTTCGGGATCTTCATAAAGAGGATCCGAAGAGTATCCTCATTCGCCATAAAATAATCTCTCCTAATGCAGGTGAGCTGTAAATGACACATGCAAGAAGAAAATTAAATTGTATTCGTGAAAACATTACGCAGACCTTAAAATTTTCAAAGTACATCAGAATACATGTAGTCGGGTAAAAACATTAGTAAGTTTGAAGCCTAGGGGTTGGCAGAGGAAAAGTCTTTGAACCCAGAAAGTTGTCGGTCCTGTTCGGCCCGCCCTCCTCTGCGAGGCTGCTCTTCGAACCCGAGTTCTTAACATGCTTCACCTGGTAATAATGCGGAGCCACATCCAGCAGCCACTTCGGCTCTATTTCCGTTACACATCTCATGTATTCTTTCGTTGTGAGCACCATTTCGTGGTATAAAACGCAGCTCGGTGACTCCCGCGCTAGCCCTGAGCTCGGGTGGATGTAGGCGGTCTGTGGATATTTGATTGTTCTATAACGTCCATTCTTCATGGAGCTTGCAACGTGGGGGAAGAAACCGGATGCAATGGCCTTCTTTATAGGCGTTAGATCATCGGGATTTGAGATTAATTCGATCTCAACCCGCCCCAAGAGCCGTTCAAGTTGTTCCCGGATATCTCTTGCTCGTTTCATGCTCCTCGCCTGTATGTAGTTTTCAGAACACCATTCTGTTGAGTAATTTGTCTCCTTCCATTCATTGTACACATTAAGCAAAGCAACGTGATCTCCCACATTCCCGGTTTGAAACCACATTCGCGCATTGTCAGCGTATGTTTGTTTGTTCTTCGGGCGGAGAAAAACTGAGTTACCAACAGAAAGCATAGCAGCGATTGAAATAACCTCGTCCGAGCACTTGTACTTGCCGGAAGCAACTATCATCTTAGATAGCTTCGGATCAAGAGGAAACTCTGCCATCTGCCTACCGACCTTAGTCAGCTCACCAAATTTGTTCAATGCAGCTAGGGCAAACAGCAGTTCAAGCGCCTTTATCAATCCTTCAGTAGGTGGAGCATCTATGAAATCGAAATGTAACAAGTCATGGATACCGAGACACTTCAGCGTAAGCACGACATTCGCAAGGTTAGTCCGTTGTATTTCTGGTATTGTGTTATCTTCAAAATCATGCTGGGAACTGTAAGCTGTGTATAACCTGAAGCATTTCCCAGGGCTTGTTCGACCAGATCGACCTGCCCTTTGTCTTGCCGATGCTTTCGAGATGGGAGTGACTTGCAATGACTCCATCCCAGTCCTCGGATTATAACTCTTCATCTTGCAATATCCAGGGTCAATGACATATTTGATCCCGTCTATTGTCAGCGAAGTTTCTGCTATGTTTGTGGCCAGGACAATCTTCCTAGCCCCTGAAGGCGTGGGCTCGAAAACCTTCGCTTGCAACTCAGTAGGTAGGTTTGCAAATATGGGACAGATAATCAGCTCACCAATTTTTGTCCCAAGGCCTTCTGTCTTCTGTTTCAACACTTCGGCCGCTGCTTCAATTTCTTCCTGACCAGTGAGAAAGATCATTATATCGCCAGATGGTTCTGTCACATGGATTTGAAGTGCAGTAGCAATTGCTGCATCTAAATAATCAGCTTGTGGTTCCTTTGTGTAGAATATATCGACAGGATGCCGCCTTCCTGGAATATATAAAATCGGGCAATAATCAAAGTAATCGCTGAACTTCTTAGCATCAAGAGTTGCACTTGAGATGAGGAGTTTAAAATCAGGTCTAAATCGTGCAATGTCTTTAACTAATCCGAACAGAATATCTGTCGATAGCGTTCTTTCATGTGCCTCGTCCACCATCAGCACACTATAGCTTGCCAAATCTGGTTCGCCGAGAAATTCACGCAACAACATTCCATCAGTCATATATTTCATAACAGTTTTTTCAGATGTGCAATCTTCAAAACGAATAGAATAACCTACCTCATGGCCGAGTTTGACTCCCATTTCTTGAGAAACCCTGGCAGCAACACTCATAGCAGCAACTCGCCGTGGCTGCGTGCATCCAATCTTTCCATGCTTCGTGTATCCTGCCTCATGCAGATATTGGGGTATCTGTGTGGTTTTCCCGGACCCAGTTTCACCAACGATAACAAGAACCTGATATTTTTCAACTGCTCGGAGCAATTCATCGCGATAGGAGAAGACTGGTAATGTTTTTCTCTCCTCCTGCAGCTTCTCCAAGTTTGATTTCACTTGCGAATCAAATGACCGAGTTTGTTGTGCTTGCAAATCATCATCAAATTCATTAGCGGATGCCTTGACAAAATCAATCAGGTCTCCAAATACAAATTCGTACTCATCAGCAGACATTGACCTATTTTTGTCTTTGGATCCGAAATTCCATGTTGCCTTTTCAATTTGCTGATCCTCCCAAGCTTTCTGTTCTGCAAACGGGTTGATTTTATCTCCGCCATTCAGTTCCCCGTAGCGTTGAGTAGCCACAGAAAATCTCTTTTTCTGATCAATGCCGCACTCCTGATCATCATAGGCTTCCGGGATCATGTACTCATTGCCACTCTCATCCCTTTCTAGCACTGACTTTTTCTTCGCAATCTCTAATATTTGTTTCTTGTAACTCAAGTCACGGTCTTCAGCTTCGGTCAGCTTCAGACCTCTGAATAAGCAATTCTCATCTTCTAAATCTTCCATAATTTCCTCCAATTTCTTTTGCTCCCGTTTCTTTAGATACTCTTGTCTTGAAACTCTTCTTAAAGCTTCGATATCAGCATTGGTTCTCCGAAACGCCTCCTTTGCCTCGTTCTGTTTTAACAACCTTGTTGGGGCTGCTGCATCCTTCTCCCTTATGTTTCTCTCCAACTCCTCCCTCTCTCGCTGATCACGCAATGTTTCTTCTTCTTCAAACGGCGAACCATCGTGGCCTTCTACTATCCATATTCGTCTTTTAACCGGTCTCTCTTCTTTCACTCTCGCAATATCTGCCTCGCGATCTTCTTCTACTTCACTCCGCACCCTCTTCCTATACCGTTTCTTCCTCGAATCCGACTTCATGGACTCATAATCATCGTTGTCCACATCTATGATCTCATCATATGTTCTCTGCAGCTTCCTCACCAGCCTGGCAACTTCCCTCTTCTTTTTCAATAATGCCTTGCCGCGCAATCTAGCGAAGATTTCTTTCGAAAAAGCGCCCGTTTCATTCGTGGATGGCAGTCCAAAATCGACGAGCTTGTCCATCACACCATCCGGCGATGTTGCTTGCTTAGCGAGTTGAATAACGAACCGAACAACTACGATGTTAGAATATCCGAGAAACTCCATTAACATATCAGACACCCAATTCTTCAGAGTGCTACGCCTCGCCATCGAAAATCAAGGCTGATGAAATTTTTCTTAAGAGCTTGGATTTGACAGAAGGAAAAGAAACGAGGGAATATAAAGTGATGGAAATTCTGCACTCGCGAGATTATATTGTATGTGTATTTATATAGTCTGGAATATTTAGGCCGCAAGAATCCATTAGGAAGAAGGAAACCTTAGCCAAATGGGAAACCAAGCGACGCTAGGACTAGGTTTTCACCGTTGACTAGGTTTTCCTAAACCAAAGGTTTTCAAAAAAGGGTAAAGTTACAGACATTAAATTTGGAGACAAAATTTTGAAAACTAAAAAACATGGAAGTTGATAATTAGTTTATTACTTAAACGTTGATAAACGTGTTCATTCATATTGGTGACACATCATTTGGCTTACAAATTTAGTCTTCCTAGCATTAAAAATAGACTTTGAACCCAAGAAGGAAGAGTTTTCTTCGACCAAAAAAAAAAGGAAGAGTTATCCATAAAAATTAAAAAAACCCAAAAACTTGAGGAAAACATAAATGTTTCGTTAATTTATTTTCAAATGATAAACAAAAAATTATTAAATTTGAATAGAAATATATACAAAATAATCAGATGGGTGCCACCAAATTTCATCGATGACAACTTTTATGTATTGACACAAAGGGGTACCGTGTTGGGCCACGCCTTGCTGACACACATGCGGGTATGTTAAACAATTTTAAGGAGAAATTTCGGCAGAGTTTAATTGTCACTAGATTATGTTGGATTATGTTGAGTGGCACCACTAACCACTCAACTTTATTTTAAGCTTGAATCAAATGACAACACGGCCTCTCATGTACGACATCAATTAAGACTAAGAGCACGTAAGTCATTGAGCTCAACACGTGAATTATCTACTCTCATACCGTATTAAAATGTAAGCATCCTAACATCCAAAACCAAAAGCTTCACAGCAAAGTAAATTCAACAACATATTGTCAAAAAGAAGAGAAAATAAGTGAAACATAATCTCGAAAACACATCAAAACTAGTGTGTATTAATTTTTAAGAACAACGATACTGCCTGTGTGGAATTCTGATTATCGGAGCCTTATCAAAATAATCACTCAGCTTCTCAGGATCACTCGTACTTCCACTTTCACTCAACACAATAACAAGTTTAAGATCACGTCGAGCTCGAGCAACACGCTTCACTAATGCAAACACATCATAGTAATCACTTACCAGCGTTCTCTCGTGCGCCTCGTCAACCATCACCACGCCGTAGCTCGCCAACAAGTCTTGCCGGCCAAGCCATTCTTGTACCAGCATTCCGTCCGTGATGTACTTCAAGACAGTCTCTTTGGTTGTGCAGTCGTCATGATTAATGCAGTAGCCTACTTCACGTCCAAGTTCGACCCCCATGTCTTGAGAAACCGCGGCAGCAGCACAAATAGCAGCAGCTCGCCGTGGCTCTACACACGCTATGTTTTTCTTACCGGTCTTTGTGTACCCGGCCTGGTGTAGGTATTGCGGTATCTGCGTAGTTTTTCCACATCCAAATTCGCCAGCAACGATCACAACCTGAAATCTTTCAACCGTTTCAAGAAGCTGACAGCGGTAGTACTGGATAGCTAAAGTTTTTCTGTCCTCCTTGAGCTTCTCCTCAATTGATTTCACCACCGTAGAAGATTTTGATGCCATTAGGCAAATCACATGAATGTTAAAGGAGCTAGGAAACTGAGCTGAATAGAATTAAATTAACTGAAACACAAGACCTTTGATTATGTAAGTATCTATCGTTTCCAACAAGGACTAGGATTGGTAGAGTACCAAACAAGGAAAGTCTTTGCACTCGAGGAGAAAAGTACAAAACTGCCTTATGTCCCGTACATGTACGTTTGAACTGTATTAACAGATCGAGTAATCGGGTTGGATTGCAAAGTAATTGCGATCGTTCCTATATTAACAGAACACGGTAACAGATTGGTAATCAAGATTTATAAGAACACCAATCTCGAAAAACAAAGATATTTAATCATCAGAAAAGAAACCATTAGATGATGGCCTCAAGTTTGTTTTGGACGATGTTGTCAAGATTTACATGTTATTATCTTTTATGTTAATTGTAGATATAAATTGAAGGAATAATTAAAAATTCTCAATTCTTGGTTTATACCCAACTGTTTTTATTACTTTACGGGAAGGAAATTAAGTTTTATGCTGAAAAACGAAGGAAAAACACTTTATTTAGCAGAAAATAGAAGAGTGAGAGTTTAAATGACCATTTTTCCCCTTTCGCGGCGATTTGTAATGTTTAGCGACGGTTTTCCTATATTTACTACCATTTTGGGGTCTTCTATGGGTTGAATTTCTTTAGTAACGATATTTTTCGTTGGTAAACGCCACCAAAGGTATTTTTAGGCAGGGGTTTAGGAAATCGCCGCTAAAAGTCGCTGAAAAAATGAAACTTCTCCTTCGGCTATTTTGACAATGCTTTTTCACTTATAAAACCATCATTCCACAAATACGTCTCTCTATTTGTCTGTGTTTATAGAAATTACATGGAAATATTGTTCAAAATTGCTCTCAGTAGTTTTTTGTGGTCTTTTATGACAATCGTTGGTGCTGACATGAAGCCTGCAGGTCCCCAATGTTTGAAGCCTGCAAATTCATACAGCCAAAGCTCCATTAAAAGCACATTAATAAAGCTAAAACTCAGAACTACTGCCGTTACAAAACAAAAATAATAATTTTCACTTTCCCTACTAACATAGGCAGTCGAGGACTAACTCAATCTCTGTTCTTTTGGAGCGATACAATCACTTAGTTGTGTGACCAATAACATTCCATTTCCCAGTATTTCAGTTCTAATTTTTAACCATACCTTCTTATAAGCTTCTACTGGAACAAAATAAAATTCATTTACTTATCATGCAATTAGCCGCTTATTCGGTATCTATCTATGTAACCTCCATTTCAGTAAGAAGTGACTTCCATGAAAACATACAACTAAAACCGAAGTGTTTCTCTCCTTTTTTTGCCCCCTTATATCCATTCGAGGAAAGATAAAATTAACCGACACCGATCAAGATTACTATGCTTTCTTAGTTAGTAGCAGAGGGATATGTGAATAATTTCAGAACTTTCTTAATTTTCATATTCAACTTGATTGAATAAAAATTAATAGAATAATCTAACAATAGGATCGATGTTTGAACCAAACTATCAGCGGCTACACAATCGGAAACCACAAGATTTCAGACCTGACAATGTATTCCAAACAAGTTTTACAAATTGTGATTAAAGAGAATTACCTTAGAGTTCAACCAGGATTTTTCCATATGATATAGAGAATCAAGCTTGTATGGGCTCCCTCTCCCTCTCCCTTATACCAGAATCAAACTTTTAGTCTACTGCCCTTGCTATTTACATCGCATCAATGTCAAAGATGGACAAACACAAGGTTCAGCTAGCTTTGTAAGCATACATATAGCCTCGAAGTTTTCTGATCTCTTCTGATGACTCAGTTAGCAGATGATCAACGTACAGAGCCAGTCCTGCCCCGCTGCAATACCAGATAACCTTTCATGAATAAATTTAAAAGTTATACGGACAAGTTCTGAATCGGATTTTAGCATACCTTAGAGGTCCAAATGGAAGCCAGATTATATCCCAGCGGAACCTTGGCAAACTGCACAAGTATCATTTTTGTTCAAAACTAGTTTGTTTGTACCTTAAACATACAGCACAGTTCACAAGGGGAAAGAAACTTAAGAGCAAGGCAAGATGACAACATATTGAACACAAATTGGAAAATAAAATGCAGGTGCAGTGGTAAACCCTGCATCCATGTTCAACACAAGTCAATTGAATGAAGGGCCACAATGTCAGCAGCTGAATGAAGGATACATATAGAGAAATGAGATCTTTTAATGTATTAAATTTATTGTTCCACTTAACTACCTCACGGTGACAGTTTCATCATAATTCATTCTTAAGTTTCTAAGTTGTGAATATTCTAATATTCTTTTACAAGACCGGTTATGTGATAAAATAACTAATGTTAGAATGTGTGAGTTTGAGAAGTAACATACCTCAACATGTAATACAACCAGAAAACTGCGAGTACAATGCCAGTAAAGATTGAGTACCAAATCCATCGGCGGTGATGCTTTGAATCATGAAGTAATCCTATGATAGCTGATGAACATGCTAGAACAGCTAGCCAATCTGTTATATTTTTAATTAGTTAATTATTTCATCTCAAAATAATGTAGAAGACAGCCAACTAAGCATATTAAGTGTCTGCAACGCTTATTTCCCCCAATAGTAAATAATTACGGACTAGGTTTAAAACCCAAAGAATACACATTGAGTACAACACATCCAACAACAAGAAATATTGGTTGAGCACTTAAACTATGCTGCAACCATCTCATGACTGTTGAAACATTGACACGTGACTCTACTAATGATACAACAACAACAACAACAAAGCCTTTTCCCACTAAGTGGGGTCGGCATACTCTACTAATTATAGGTAAGGGAAAATCACCTGCAGATATAATCATCCATGAGGGCACCTCCTCCATGAAGTAAGCATGATAACGCTGTTGATCAAGATCAAAATATGACATTTCATAAGTAAACACATAGTTCAGAATAACAGAGCCACAAAATCACATATACAAGTAGTTGCTCATCTGACACCGTGGTGCTATATAATTATTGATATTAGACTCCTAGAGTGACAAGACAACAAATGATGAAAAAGGATTCATCCTCTACAAAAGACACTAAATCACTACATCCTCATATGTCACAGGTTCCATAAACAGCAAAAAAACACTCAGCTCACAATTCTCAACTTCTCAACAATAACGAGCTCTACCCGGTGAAATTTTGCAACTTGATCTTAGAACTGCTATCCTTAGGGTAAGTAATTGAAGATACCACGTACTCACAACTACTTGTATGAGATCTCATTGTTGAAAATAAAAGTTACAAAATACAAAATCCCAATTGAAACCCAATGGCTC